AATAAATTGGATGGTTTGGGAAGGCGTAAGCATTGATTTGCCATGGTTTACCAGGAGCACTAAAGAACAAAGACAACTTAGGACTATGAGGGTATGCTGGTGGAACTTGTGTTCAGTCCTTGCTTTGATAAGGCAATCATCTAAGTAAGGATATATGGTGACTCCACATTTCCTGAGATGAGCGGTGACGAGTGCTAACACCTTGGAAAATACCCTGGATGCTGTGGCGAGTCTGAAAAGTAGGACTGAGTATTGGTAATGCTGGAGATGAAAGATAAAACAAAGGAAATGTCTGAGAGTCGGTCAAATCGATATATGGAAGGACGCATCCTGTAAGTTGAGGGACGAAAACCATTCACCAACCTCCAGAATTGGGATAATGGTGGCCAGAATGACCATTCTGAATCTCTGTTTTTTTATGTATTTGTTTAGCAATCCAAGATCATGGAACAGTCTCTACCCGCCTGACTTCTTTTCTATGAGGAAATAGTGTGAGTAGAAACCAGTTTAGTGAAACGCCGAGGGAACTGGCTCTATTGCCCCTAATTGGAGCAGATGATCCACCTCTTGTTGTAATATGGTCTCATTAGAGGGGTCCCTGAAGAGGGATGGGGTGGAGTGGGGGGAGGGAGAGGAAAGGGTTGGTGTAACCAAAGAAGATAGTTTGTATTACCCACTTGTCAGAGGTAATAGTTTTCCAGTTTTATAGAAATGGTAAACAAAAGTGGAATAGTTTTAATACATTTTGAAGCTCTGGGGTAGGTGATGTGGTTTTGTGTCTCTCGACTGCTGTTTCAAATTTGCTTATTGCATTGGGACCAACAGTTGGGGTGGTTACTCTGAGGACGATGTCTTTGTCTATTTCGCCCGTGCTGTTGGTATGGCAGGTCGTCTTGCTTCTGGTAATAAGTGGGTTGTGAGTACCTTGATCTCTGGTATCTGTATTGTCTTGGTCTCGTTACAGGTTTTTGGATACCCAGTGAGTGTAGTATAGCCCTGGAATCCTTCATTGACTGAAGTACTTCATTGGTCTTCGCTGAGGAGAACTTCCACTGATGGTTGGACTTGGTGGGGAAAAGCAGAAGAGTTGAACCATGAGACCGGTCTCCTAGTCACGGCTGTAGCCGTTGTCCTTGTGGCTATATCTGCTGCGTTAAGTATGGATTGCAACTCTATGTGCGACTCTGTCTGTCCTTCAGACATGATAGCTTTGTGTCTTTTTATTATCAGGGATGTCTTCAATAAAAGTGTTAAGCTTTGCGTAGTTGTTAAAATCGTATTTACTGAGTAAAGCAGCATAGTACGCTACTCTCATTTGAAGTGTAGCCAAAGCATAAACCTTCCTGCCGAATGAATCATGTATTGTCCTTCTCAGATGGAGTGGATCGGTTCTGTTTTTTATTTCTCTGCTGTGCATCATCCACTATAAGGAGTTGGGTGGAGGGTATGTAAAGAAATTCAGAGCCCTTGGGGGGGGAGGTAAGAGGAGGGGAACATAGTATTTTCAATCTTCTTTTTTGCATGTAGGTAGGATGGAGGCAGGTATTTGCCACAGAGTTTTAGTAGATTAAAATATGGCTGGATTGATAGGCAGCGCTATCTTTGTGGATGAAGTTAACTGGAGGGTGTTGGTAAGTTCATGGTGAGAGTCCTGAACTTCTTCCATAGGGATATTCAAATCATTTCTGACTCTTTTAAAGAGATCTCGAAAAGAGGAAACCTCATCTCTGTTATTAGAGGATGGTGGTAGGACTGCCTCCTCCATCCCTGAAATTGAATTTGTGTGGGCGAAAGTTGCCGAAGTCGAGATTGGGGAATATTGGTTTTCACTCTCATTCCCCCCCATGGACATATAGGGTGATTGGGTTAAGAGGCAAGCGAGGTTTCACCATATGTTGCCCTCTTCCTATGTTGCTGAGGGCATGGACTGAACATGTGCCATTGTGATGGGTAAGGCATAGGTGGTGGCATCCAGAGGTAAGGCGCTCAGGGAGCCATTTGTGCTCTGACAAAATCTGCCTGCACCTGATAATTAGATATTATTGAGCCTTCTGCATATGGCTGAAGTGAAAAGGCAGCTAAATCCTCTTCCTCGTCCCTTGAGAGGGAGGAGGGGGACTCAAGAGTAATTGGAGAATGGAGAGTGAAGATATTTGTTCTCACTCAGAAAAGGAGAATGCAGTGTAGAAGAGATTGCCAGATCCTTGTGTTCCCTTTAGTTAATGAGAGGAGTTCTCTGCTGGCTGAAAGAGTACTGCCTGCGATGCAGCAGTGGAGGGGTTGCCCCAGGCAACGGAGGGGTGCCGAGTGGGTGCCCTGTGAGGAACTCTGGTGACGTGCTCGGTACTGCAATGTGAGAGGCAGGCATGACATGGTCTGTTGCCTCTGTGAGGGCAGTCTTTTTTGTGCTTTTAAGATTATTGCACTGCTCACCCGAGGTACCTGGCTGGTGAAACGTGCTGAGATGTTTTTTATCAGAGTAATCTGATTTATTTCCCTCAGAACGCCTTTTTGGCGAATGGTGAGGCAGCAAGCTTGCCCTTCTTTTTAAGGGCTATGGGGACCTGTCCTTTTTTGATATAGTACTCTGTCCCGAGCCCGGGTCAGAAGCATGTTGTTTGCCCTTGTCAGTCAGCAGCATTTTAAGCTGGAGCTCTCTATCCTTGTGCATCCACATTTTCAGCTTTGTGCAATGTGGGCAATCTTTCTGAGTGTGTGAATGCCCCAGGCACTTGACACATTTATCATCTCTATCAGTGGCTGGTATTGCGTTGTTGCACAGCACACAGCGTTTGAAGCCAGGTGAGCCCATGCTCAAAGAGAGCATTTCAAGGGCAGAGTCTTTTTTTCTTCTTCTTCTTCTTTTTTTTAAACTATAACACTAATGAACAGTAACAACAATGACTAATAAACCTAATCCTAACCAACTATGAGCAAATAAAGTGTGAAGAGAAATTCTTTGCGAGAGCACTGAAGATTTCTGTCCGAAGCAGGGGATGGTAGAAAGGAACTGAAGAGAGGGGGGACCTGTGCGTGTGCGATGGCACCGGGGGAGGCCCACGTGTACCGCATGCGCAGCCCCCAGTGCACTGCTAGAGAAAAATCCATTGAGAGGAGTTGGGACACTCAGCACTTAATGTGGAGCACCCCCAGGAACACCTTTTGAAGAAGAATTACTGCTTATTACTTGCTTACAAAACTCATGCTAAAACATCCCAGAATATTTGGAGTTTTTTGTAATAGCATTACGCTGTCTCCTCATTATTTAATTTGTGAGCCACTATAACCACTAGTTTCCTGCAGTATTCTTCCCAGGCAGTTAGTTCCCATTTTGTATTTGTGCAAATGATTATTCCTTCCCTAACATTTGTATCTATTGAATTACATCCTATTTATTTCAGGCCATTCCTCCAGTTTGTCAAGATCATTTTCAATTCTAATCATGTCCTCCAAAGTGCTTGCATCCACTCCTAGTTTGATATCACCTCCAAAATTTGTATTATCTTTGCTTTTATTCAAATTGTTTATAAAGATAGCGAACAGAAATTAACTCATGACAGATCCTCGTGGCATTTCACTTGATATGCCCTTCCAACTTGATTGTAAGCCTCTGATAACTTAAGTTTTTCAGCCAGGTATGTCCCTCCCTTATATATTCATCTAGACTATATTTCTTTAGTTTCTTTCATGAGGTCACAAAAGGCTGTACAAAAAGCTTTATTAAAGTTGAGACACATCGCATCTACTGCTTCCTCCATTCACAAGACTTTTGCAAGAGGATACTGAGTTAATTTGACAGGATTCATGTGTGATAAATCCATGTTGACTGCATGATGCATTATTTTTCTGTGTACCAAAGTTAAGCTGACTGGTCTATAAATTTTCTGGCTTGTTCTTATTCCCCTTTTTATAGACAGGTATAATCTCTGCCCTTCTCCATTTCTTGGGTGTATCTTCTGTCCACCACAAGTTTTCAGTGATCTCTTCAGCCAGTTTCCTAAGTATTCCAGGATGTATTTAAGTCAGGCCCTGCCAATTTAAAGGCATTTAACCTAAGTAATTCTTAACTTATTATTTTCCTATTTTCACTTCAGATCCTACCCCATTTACACAGATGTTCACTATGTTAATTACCCAACCACTTAAAACTGAAAACAAACAAGGCATTTAACATTATGGCCATTGTTGCGTTTTCTGTTGTTCTTCTGATTAACCAATGGGCCTACCCTGTCCTTGATTTTCCTCTTGATTCTAAAGTATTAAACTGTTTTCTTGTTAACCAGGATGTCCCTATCGAATTTAATCTCATTTTGTGCCTTGGCCTTTCTAATATCATCCCTACATGCTTGTGGGATTTTTGTTTTTAAATTTGTCCATTGAAATTTAACCTGGTTTCCATTTTTTGTATGGCACTGACTTTCAAGTCTCTGAACATCTTCTGGTTCAGCCAGAGTGCTCCCTTATCAAACTTCCTATGTTTCCTATGCTTTTGTGCTATTAATAATGTTATTTTTTAAAAAAAAACTGTCAACTGTCCTGAATTCTTTTTACATTAGACTTCCTTCCTTCCCTACTTTGTCCATACTTGTCCCTTTACCTGAATCATTTTGTGTCCTGTCTTTAACCATTTTGTATAATAACATGTATATTGTGAGTGCTCTGAATGATTATTAAAAATAGACCCTAACATAAACAACCCTAAAAGCCATTATTTGTAGCATCAGTAACTAGTTTTTCAGATGGTGCCAACATTCAACCAGTGTTTACTGGAGAAAAATCTCCTCCATAGTGAACAGTGAAGTGTTTAATGCCCGCTATGTGTGTGTGTAGGAGGGGGAGGGGGGAAATCTTGGCCCTATTTTTTCTTTTCTGATCCTAACATAAGACTCACGGGTTTGTATCGTACATGTAACACTAGAGGATCTTTTTTGTGATTAGTAAAAAAAAAAGTTAATGCTTTTCATAATTTTACTATACATAATGACAAATGATATACTTACCAATGTAAGCTTCAGAATCACCAATATACATTTCTATACAATGTCCAAGCATGGTGACTGAAAATGTGTCATCCCTCCTAAGACCAAGGGCCTGTAAAAAGCAGAGAGAGAGTACAGAATATTCAACAGGAGAAACAGATATTTGTAACATAGCATTATAACAACTTCAGTTTTTTTCTTGTCATTTACTTTAGTTGCTGCTGCAGATTGTTATTATAGAACAACACACAATCTTCACTATAAAATGAGCCCCCCACTTCCAACAAAGGAACAACAACAAAAAAATATCCTGCTGCTTCTTTAACTGACAAAGATTAACAGAAGTCAAAATTAATTAGATTATACCAGGGCTGGGCAAAATACCTGGCCCACAGTTGCAGCAGGGAGCCTCAGGAAGGCTCCCTGCCTGCCCCCACCCTTGCTTCCTCCTCCAGCATGCTGCTCAGAAAAGTGGCTGCTGGGCACTTTGTCTTCGAACAGCTATGAGCCCAGGAGCTGGGGGGAAAGGGGGAGGAGGAGGAGAGGGGAGAGTGTCATGCACTACCCCCAAGCCCAGCACAATTCGATTGGCCAGTTTTCTGACACACATTTTTTAAGGGATCCTTTTAATATTATTTATATTTAAGTAATAGGTTTTACCTGTGAATGCTCAGAAAATGTATTCTATATAAAAAAGAATAAGGGCTGGAATGTGGGGAAGGCTACATTGCACTTTTCATACACAAGACAATTAATTTGTTTTAAGTACACAAATAAAATTTAACCTTACTTATGGAGCTGTGATCAGCACTTCCCTCATTTAAACCATATACATACCGTATGAAAATAGTCAATTGCACTTTCAAAATTGCCCATTAGACTGTGTATGTATCCAATGGCAGAGTAAGTGGAAGCATTCTGAGGAATCAATACTAAGGCCTGACGATGGTATTCTAATGCTTCTTCATACTTCCTGTTAAATTTAAATATAGAGCATATTAATAAGTTCTCCAGTGCAAGTACTATCACTGTATTAGGCTTGTATTGTGACTAGCACAAGACCCATCCTCAAAGCGTTTTGGTGGCTATACAATATAAATAAGTTATTGCTTCATACTTGCAAGATGACAGAATGGACCAAATCTTCACAATAACAATCTTAATTATACAAGCGACGAGGAGTCCTGTGGCACCTTATAGACTAACAGAAGTGTTGGAGCATAATCTTTCGTGGGTAAAAACCCACTTTGTCAGATGCATGGTGCCACAGGGCTCCCCTCCGCTTTTGCAGATTCAGACTAACACGTCTTTCCCTCTGATACTTAATTACACAGTAATTCAGAAACCATATTTTCAATTCAACAGCATACGAATCACATTTAAGATTGGGAAAAAAATCAAAGTATATGAAAAATCTTCATGAAAAGGTACTTTATGTTTCATTTTATAACCAATGTGTGGAAAGAACATCTTGCTACTTATTAAAGTATGTTGCCACATATACATATTTGTAGCTAGTCATAAAGACATTGGAAGGAGATAAAATGCAACAGCTCCCTGCAGCCACCTCCAAATGAAAAAAGATCCTATTATATGTGGCAAACTATTGTAGAAGTTTAATTCTATTTGAGGCAGCATTATCTCACTAAAAGTGAATGGCAGCATAACTCTGAACCAATCATGATGCTACTGATGCTTGGGGTGGGAGAGGAACTGGAAAATTTAAGAAAAGCATTCTCTGTAAATTGTCTTACACTTGGTATTCTGGCAGGAATTTTACAAGTATCTTTGGGTGCTGCATAGAAAATAGTATTTTGCTACCTTTACTTTGCTGCTAATTATATCTGCCAGAGACAGGCAGAAGAGAGCATTTATTAAATTAGATATAGTCCCCGGGAGTAGGGGAGCAGCAAGTGCGCTCCGGCCCCACTCCTGAGGAGCCCCCTGCCACTCCACGCTGCTGCCTATGTATCAGAGGCAGCAGCACAAGGAGTCAGGTGGGTGCTGGTCCAGAAGGGGAGCCAGTTTAAAAACCAGCTCCCCTTGCAGACCGGCTACCTGTCGCCCCGTGCTGCTACCTCTGATACAGAGGCAGCAGTGCAGGGTGACAGCAGCCCCTGTCTGCGAGGAGGCTGAGCTCCCAGACCCAGTATAAGCTGGAACTGAGCTGGGCTGCCTGCCCACCTAGCTCCTAATACACTTTAAATGCAGAGCTGCAGTGGGAGTAGGTCCCGGACCTGGCGCGAGCTAGGACTGAGCTGGGTTACTGGTCAGCTTGCTAAAAATGTACTGGCGGGGGAGGGAGGAGGGAAATGTGTGTAGTTTCTAGCATTAACTTATAAGCTTTTGCTTATAGGTAATTGACTACACTATTACATCCTTAGTTGTGCCTCCCTAAACCAGGACTCTCTGGTCCATCAAAATTCATAGTCCTGCTGGCAGGACCACAGATGGGCGCTCTGGTTGAGGAACAAGCCACGGTCGGGAACCCATGGCAGCCGGGTCAGGCTAGCAGTAGGGGGATCAGGGCCTGGCGGCTCAGCCAGGCGACCTCCTCTGGTCCAGCAAATTCCCTCATTCAGGACTGATCAGGACTCGAGGGTGCTGGATCAAGAAGGTCCAACCTTTATGGGCCATAAGAGGATTTTTGAGATATTTTAATTCTTGATATGAAACAAGATATAAGCAATTCTTGACTTTGCTTCTGAATATTTTACATATATCCCATAATTCTCTTCAAATACCATACAATCCTTTACTGAAATTAAAATTACCCATATCAAATTATGTATTGCAATCATTCATTTAGAACCCAACACAGCTGGCAAGCCTTCATCATTTGACGTCATGACTACAAGAGTTTCAAGTTACTATAATTAAAACATATCACAAATCCCAGAAGGTTGTTAAATGGCATTTTCTCTATTCAGAAAAGTCTTACATTTGTTTTCATGGCTAACTGATTTCTATTACAGTACAGGCAGTCCCCGAGTTACGCGGATCCGACTTACATCGGATCCGCAGTTACGAATGGGGATTTTCTTGCCCCGGAGGACTGGAGCGGCGGGACGCCTGGTCCTGCCGCCCGCCTCCTCCGGGGCGAGAAAAGCTGCTCCCCATCTCCCTGGTCTGCTGGGGGATCAAACTGTCCCCTTTCTTCATATCTACTGTGAGAGTGGGGCTTTGGCAGAGGAGATAATGGAGCTAATGGATAAGGGGCAGAGCGGGGGAGATAGCTCAGTGGTTTGAGCATTAGCCTGCTAAACCCAGGGTTGTGAGTTCAATCTTTGTGGAGGCCATTTGGGGCAAAAATTTGTCAGGGATGGTACTTGAACCTGTTGTGAAGGCAGGGGACTGGACTTTATGTCCCTTCCAGTTCTAGGAGATAGGCAATCTCCATTAATTTACTTAGATTTCTTCAAAAAAGGAGGTACTCTCCAGAGGCAATCTGTGGCTGCTTTATGAGACACAAAAAGAACATGATGGACTGGAGGATCATATCCCAAGTTCTCACTTGCAGTGGCAACTTTGCCAACATAGTGCATAAACCGCAATATATGTAATTATTAATAGAGATGGAGAGTTGATGTCAATAGATTTTTCCAAATATTAAACTAAAGATACAAGTTTATATCACTCATATGCCAAAGATATAAGATCTCTCAGCACATCTAATGCAGTAACTAAATAGGAAAGGATAAAACATCACCCAACAGATGACAGGATTAATACATATACAGGCAGTCCCCGGGTTACGTACAAGATAGGGACTGTAGGTTTGTTCTTAAGTTGAATCTGTATGTAAGTCGGAACTGGTGTCCAGATTCAGCCGCTGTTGAAATTGATCAGTTTCAGCAGCGGCTGAATCTGGATGCCAGTTCCGACTTACATACAGATTCAACTTAAGAACAAACCTACAGTCCCTATCTTGTACGTAACCCGGGGACTGCCTGTATATAAAGCTATATTAAAATGTAAAGTTGTCAAATGCTAGAGAATTACCAATCATATATAAAATTTATTCTCTGGGCAACCAAACGTTCACATCTAATCTAGCATGTAGCATTTCACTGTAGTCTGTCAAAAAATTTAAATTAAAATGAAAAAATGTTTTACGGTGTTTAGAAAAAGATCTTAAACACATGCATGTTTGAACAAAGAATATAGTACTGGCTGCTCGAAATGTGATGTAAATAGGTTTTAGTTTTTTATTATAGGAAATTTAACAAAAGTTTTATTAACAAACAAGGATTTTGAACAGAAAATCCATTATTTTACTAATGAATAATTTCCTGCCAGCATTACCTTTTCTTTGCTTTTGGCAAAGTGGGCAGCTATTACACAAGTTATTTCCTAATTAAAGTAAGACCAATTGATATCTCTTGTAAAAACTGTAGTTACCCCTGAAGCCAAAAGCAGTAAAACCGCTTCAGAATGTGTCTCCACTCTAACCACATTCACATTAATGATGCTGAAACACAAAAGCTATAAACCACATGGTCAATTAAGGAATTATAGCACAATTTATTTGTAGTAAAATAAAACTGTATTTAACTATTAAAGCAGATTTTAAAATTATAAATATGAATATATTTCTGGACTACAAACATTTTTATTAAAAGTATATTTATTAAAAAGATTCATCTGATTATTTTGTCATGGTCACATGGAATAGCCCTACCATCAAAGAACACTTTAAAAATATCTTTAAAAGATGGTCTGTTGCTGATGTATAGTTGATTAAAGTATGCTCAGATTTTGTTTTACAACTGTCCTCAGATTTTATGTCTATTTTAATCATCTTGTAACAGTCATAAAGGGAAGGTTACTCATCTTGTGCAGTAACTGGAGTTCTTCAAGATGTGTCCCCATGAGTGCTCCACTTAGGGTGTGTCAGCATCACTATGCACACGGCCTGGAGATCTTTGCTATCAGTTCCCCGGCTGCCCACACATGCTGTGCTATTGCGCAATCGCCCCGACTGACAGTTAGAGACACGCCAGTGGCTGTTCCCTCCGTTTCTTTTCTACGCTGGACTGTGTTAGCCCGGAGCAGAGGGGAGGAGGGTATGGAGCACCCCCGGGGCAAATATCGAACTCCCGTGACTGAACTAGGTGAGTAACCCTCCCTACTTCTTTGAGGGTCCTGTGCTCCATTTAGATGACTACGCAGCAGTGTTCCTGCTTCGAGGTGGGTGCTCCGTGATGCAGGACTGGATATTGGACAGGACCGTACGTCCACATCTAGTGCCAGAGTCCTGAAAGGTCTGAATAGCGTAATGTTGAGCAAAAGTATTGGCCGAACCCCATGTTGCTTTCCAAATAATGTCTATGGGTAGGCTCTTAAGGAAAGTGGTTGTGGTAGATACTGCTCTCGTGGAGTGCACCCGTATAACTGTCGGTGGCTGACTGTTTCTCTGGGAGTATGCCAACTGTATTCATGTAGAAATCCATTTGGATATTTGCTGTTTGGAGACAGGTTGACCTCTGGACCCGTCTGCGCAAGACAGGAATAGTCTGGGTGTTCTTCAGAAGTCTTTTCTGCGTTCCAGGTAAAAGGCTAATGCCCTGCATACATCCAGAGTATGCAGCACTTCCTGGTTGCTGTCCTCATGTGGTTTCAGGAAGAACACAGGTAGGTATATCGGTTTGTTACAATGGAATGAGGTAGGTATCTTGGGGAGGAATTTCAGATGGGTTCTAAGGACAACCTTGTCCTTGTGGAATACGATGTACAGTGGGTCCGCCATGAGTGCTGCTAACTCTCCCACTCTCCTGGCTGATATTATCACAATGAGAAAGGCTACTTTCATCGATAGGTGTAGTTGCAAGCAGATCGTGATTGAATCCAGCACGAGGTTCAGGTCTGGCTCTGGCACTGGCTCTCTATATGCAGTGGATACAGGTTTTGTATCCCTTTGCGGAATCTCTTAATGCACAGATGGGGGGAAAATGGAATACCCTTGTATGGATGGATGAATCGCTAATATAGCTAAGTGTATGTTGATGGAACTAATTGATAGTCCTGTGTCTAACAGGTGAAGGATATATTCTAGTACGTCAAAATCCCCACTGAGTGAATCCTGTGCTCGAGCCGAATTCCAGGCTGCAAAACTGGCCCACTTCTGCAGGTAAGTTTGTATAGTAGTGGGTTTCCTGGAATTAATTAGGATGTGTCTGACCTTTGAGACTGCATTAGCTCTTTGTGTGAGAGCCAACAAGTATTCAGGTTCACAGGTTTAGTATATATAGCCCAGAGTGTGGTATACGTCCCCTGTCTTGAGTCAGGTACCGGGGGAAACTTGTACGACTGATGTGTGCTGAGTTGGAGTATGGTAGGGTACCAAATTTGTCTTGGCCAATTGGGGGCTATGAGTATGACCCTTGTTGCCTCCTGTTTGACCTTTATTACCGTTTAATGTATTAGAAGCATAGGTGGAAATGCATAAGCCAGTGGGAATTCCCAGTTATTGCAAACGCATCTCCGAGAGATTGTGGTCCAATGCCTGTCCTGGAACAACACTAGGGCATTTGGAATTGATGTGCATTGCAAACAAGTCTACTACAGGGTAACCCCATCTCCTGAAAAGGTTGTTTATGATAGATTTGTTGACTTCCCATTTGTGGTTCTGTGGGAATTGTCTGCTGCGGGCATCCGCTAGTACATTGTCCTTGCCTGGCAAATACATAGCGGTAGGTGTGATGTTGTATATAATACACCATTGCCATAGTTTCATTGTTTCTGCACATAGGCTGTGAGACCTTGCACCTCCCTGCCTGTCTTTGTAATATATCGTTGCCGTACCGTTTTGTTGCGTACATTTTGAAGTCGTTGGGAGCATGCCCTCCTCACTGCTCTGAGCTCCAATACATTGATGTGAAGTCGGGACTCTTTGCATGTCCATTGTCCCTGTAATATCACACTCCCCATATGAGCTCCCCATTCCAGCAGTCGTGATAGTGACGGATGGTATTGGCATCTAAAATGGAAGTCCTATACAAATGTTGTTTGAGTCTGACCACCAATCTAGGGTGGCTTTGACCGGCCGGGCACATGGAGTATCTTGAGGAGCGTGTTGCGCCTGGGGTGGTACGTGGAGTGTTGCCATGCCTGCAACTGCCTCATATGTAGGTGGGCGTTTCAGACCACAAACGTAGACGCCGCCAAGTGTCCAAGTATTTGCAGGCATGTACATGCTGTGGTGCGTGTGCCACTCTGTACGGACACGATCAAGTCACGCATTCTCAACCATTTGTGGGTCAGCAGCAAGGCTATGCCCTGAGTGCAGTCCAACTGTGCCACTATAAACTCTAGCACAGTGGTCCCCAACCTTTCGAGGTTGTCGGGCACCAGGGGGCGTGGCCGTTCGCCCGCCAGGCGCCAGGGGCGGGGACACTTGCGCCCCGGGGGCGGCCCCCCCCATAGCCACATGCCCAGGGCCGGCGCCCCCACCCTCAAGCCATGAGGGCAGGGGACTGGACTCAATGACCTTTCCGGGTCCCTTCCAGTCCTAGTATTCCATGAATCTATTATAAATGCCTATCTCAACTAGAGGACAGAGTTTATGACCCAGCATTTCTCATTGACTCTCTTAGGTTGCTCCATCTAGCATGGTAGTTTTTGTGAATTAGAGTGTAAAGTGCCTATTGCTCCCCAGTCAATGAACAGGGAGTGTAGGCACCTAACTAACTCAGGAGGGCCAGGCCAGCCCCGAGCACCCGCCGGGTGCATGGCGCCCGCGGGCACCGTGTTGGGGACCACGGCTCTAGCATCTGGGTTGGAATGAGGGTGCACTTTTCCAAATTCAGTAGGAGTCCAAGTGTGTTGAATAACGCTCTTGTGGACTCCAGTGACTGCTCTGTGTTGCCATAGATAGATGACATGATCAGACAACCCTCGAGATATGGAATTACGTTTATTTGTTTTCTTCGCAGGTGTGCGGCTACCATGGACAGAACGTTGGGGAAAACTCTGTGGACCGTGAACAGCCCAAAGGGGAGCACCCTGTACTGATAGTGTAAGTCCTTGATGGTGAACCTAAGGAATTGTTTGTAGGCCTGATGAATAGATGCAAGAAAATATGCGTCCATGAGGTCATGCTCCTTTCTCCAAGGCAGGTATTATCTTTGACATCGTGACCATTGATACCTTGAACCGTTGATACTTGACAAACCGGCTGAATACACGTAGGTCCACCACCACCAGGGCTTCCACCACCCTAATTTCTTGACAGTTAGAAAGTATCGAGAATAGAATCCCCTTCTTCTATAGTGGCTCGGAACCTCCTCCATAGCGCCTAATTCTAGGAAGCGCTGCACTTCGTCCAGGAGGACCAACTCGTGAGAGGGGTCCCTGAAGAGGGACGGGCAAGGAAGGTGGGTTGGTGGAACTGCTGTGAATGGTATGCAGTATCTGGTTCATATTATTTCTAGGACCCATTGGTCCGAGGTGATGGATTTCCATGCTAGGTAGTATGCAGCGAGTCTGTTTCCAAATATTTGTTTGCTTGGTTGTACCTGTCCTGGAGAATCGGGGGCTTTTGTACCTTTGACCAAATCCTCAAATTTGCTGATGCGAGGTAGACACCTGGGTCAATGATTGCTCATTTGACTGTCTTCGTCAACTTTGTCGCATACGCTTTTTGTTCTCTCATGCTCTATGCTGTTGTGTATATCCTGATGTTCTGAACCTCTGGTTATATTGTTTGTATTGTTTCTTCTTGGCTCCAGGCAGCTGTATCCCTAATGTGCGGAGCATCGCCCGAATAGTGGTGAGTATGGTATAGATCCTAGTGTGAGGTCCGCCTCTGTCATGAACCTCAGTACCGGAGTGTGCAGAGGCATTGCTGTGTAGCTCCATACAGCTGCCTGCGTTGGTACTATTGGCGCTTTGAAGTGCATCAGTAACAGCGGTACCAAGCATTTGTTCAAGCACGGCATTCCACTGCTCTGCAGCTTGCCAACTTGCTTTCTCTTCCGCGGTACTGTGTTTCCCACTGGTACCACATTACTGTGTGGAGAGCTTGAAGTGTGGCCAGCAGCTCCGTGCTTCATATTAGGGTCATGGCTTTTCTTTAAGCTGGATCCCTTATCCTGCTTTTGGAAGCCCTGCCTGGTGGCATTCTTATCAGACTCCTTTGATTTTTTGTTTGCTAGAGGCTGAAGCTCAGTGGGGGATGGGGAGCATTTCGCTTCGCTCCAGGTCCTGCTCTCTAGCACACCCCTACAAGGGAGTGCTCCTACCCAAGTGGATTATCTCAGGAGAGGAGGGGATGAATGAGGCTGTGACTCAGCCATGTTGTGGTCCAAAAATAACAGTAGTTCTCTCGCTGCCTTAGAGCGTGGGGTGAGCTTTTGATAGTGTGGGCAGTGACTGATAGGATGGTCTTGCCCTACACAGGGCAGGCACTGTGTCCGTCTGCTGCTGCGATTGCCATCCTGGATCCTGTGCACCTTTTAAAGCCCAGTGATTCAGGCATAACAGGTTTTTGGGGGTTTTCCTTCGGGTGAGTGGGATGTGGCAGAAGTGTGCCACTTTGCCCGCTTTTCTTTCTGTTGGTATCCTTTTCTTTCTTTTTTTCTTGTTTTTTCCTCAGAGAGACTGACCAAGTGCAACCAATGCCGGCGGCGGTTGAGAAGGAACTGAGGGAACAGCTGCTGCTGCGTGTCTAATTGTCAGCCGGGGAGACTGCACAATAGCACACCATGTGCGGGCAGCCAGGGGACTGCTAGCAAAGATCTCCAGGCTGTGTGCACAATGGCACTGACACACCCTAAGTGGAGCACTCACGGGGACCTGCGAAGAAGAAAGTGTTCTTTTTTTTCCCCATGGTTAATCTGCAGTAAAGCTCTAGCGATAGGGTGAAAGATGGCTGTGAACCTTAAATTTGCTATTCTCAACAGTCATTCTGAAGTCCTTATGGCAAAACTGCCACTGGAGCCAGTGGAGAGTTTTGCTTCAGTAATAAGTCACATTCCGACCCAAGAAAGCAGTCTATACAGGAAGACCCTTACACTGATGTAAAGTCAGTTAAAATGTAGATCTGAGAAAATATGATTTAAATTTTATCAATAAAATAATTTTAGGACTTAAGAGTTTATATAAATTACTGCATATACATGAGGCATCCTTTGTCTGTTCACCATGTCCACATGCAGTGACATTGCAAGTGAATGTGCACAAACTGATTTAGGTGGCCTCATTCTGAGTTACAAAGCAGCCCCCTTTATACTGCTCCTATAGCATAAAGTCTTAGTCTAAATAAGCAATTGGTCTGGGAAGAACAAGGTTTTTGTAACATAGTAGGTAAATGTACCTTTAAAACATTTCAAATTTTCTACTTACTTGAGCTTTCTGCACACATGTCCCAAGTTGTTCAATAATGGCTCCCATTTATCAACTGTTACCTGCAAAATAATACAAACTTAATGTATTATGAATAATGCTGTACGAGCCCACAAAACTTGCGGAGTTTAAGTTCCCATCTTTTTTTTTTGTTGTTTTGACCATGCCAACAGGCTGTTTTGTCCAATGTTCGTTTTTTGCTGCAGCACCACGCAGGCTTTTTTTGTGTGTCACCTTCGGGGTGTTTTGTAGCAAATGCTGCATGTTTTGTCATGATTTTTTTTAAAATAAAGAACAGTCTCTCACTACAAATGAGACATTGTGGAGATCCAGACCTATACACAAATGCATACAAGTCTGTCCACTCCTTTTCAAAATTTCAGTACTTATCTCTCTTTCTCTTCGCTATTTTTACTGTTAGGGAGTTACAGAGTTCACCATCATGTATGATGATGGAAGGATTTCTTAACCAATCAAATAAAGAGAATATGCATGACCCCCCAATGATTGGAGAGGATGGGTGGTTGTTAAAATGAACAGTTAAAGGTGAAATAGACAAAAAAAAAATCTTGACATGAGTAATTACACATTTTAAAAATGTTGAATTAATGTTTCATTTTAAATTTAAAAAGTTAGGTGTATTTTGGGAATGACAAAAGAGCCATATTTAGTTTCGTACTGAGCCATATTTGGCTCTAGAGCCATAGGTTACAGATCCCTGCTACAGGATGTTGATGTTGGATACCTCTGAAGAAAGGATAACATTGCCATAAACATAGCAGACTAATATCCTAAGGGAAATTTCTTTCTGATCATGGTGTTTAAGCATCAGAAATGCTGTAACTGAAATAGCATAACTATAAACTGTATTCTTATTCCTATGCACATCTAAGCATTTAAAACCCCCCCGTAAGATAGCTGCATCAACCCCTTAATACAGAGTTCCATATATGATTGGAGAATTCATATGGGAAGGATCATAGTCTAACAGTTAAGAGACACAAGTGGGAGTCAAAACTAGATTCTTCTCCTAGCTATGCCACAAGCACGTAGGACTACATTTTAAATCTGTTGCTTTTTAATTTCATGTGAAGGTTTGTTGTTCTAGGTATTATGGGAAAGGGTAAAAAGGAATGTCTGATAAGGATGATTCACAGTCTGCTCATTGGAGAGGACAATGCGTCAGAATATATTGCATTTATTCTAAGATTCCAAATACACATGGCAATATAATCTGCGGACCTGCAGTTTTAATATAGAGCTAACTGACATGACATTAAGTATGAATTAATTAAAAATCACCTCATTTCCAATAGCTTTAATTTTCTCTAGTGCATCAAGGAACCATTTTTCTGCAGTTTTCCAGCTAAAACAAGAAAAAAAACCTCACTTTACTATAATTACCGACAAAGTTTTTATCACAGTTTTGTCATTCAAGAGTCCATTCCTAAAAATATAGCTCTGTGGTTCTCACTGTGGGTTGTGACAACCTTTGAATGGGGGGTCTCCAAGGCTGGCTTAGACTTACTGGACCTAGAACTGAAATGCAAGCCTCACTGTCCAAGGATGAAAACAAAGGCCAATAGTTTCAGCCCTGGGCAGCAGAGCTCAGGTTGCAGGCCCCTTGCCTGGGAATGAAGCCCTTGAGCTTCAGCTTTGGTCCCTCTGCCCAAAGCTGTGAGGCTTGGACTTTGGCCCAACATTCAAGGCAGCGGAGCTCGTGAGGGCATAAGCTTTAGTCCATGCTCCTGGGGTCATGAAGTAATTTTTGTTGGCAGAAGGGGGTTGCAGTGCAGTAAATTCAAGAATCCCTGACACAGCTGAATAAACTGTATCAGAAAGAGAGAAAAAATATCATCTTTCACACTATTTATGCACAGCTAATTTCTTTCACATTAATTAAAAATGGTGAAATACAAGCAGTTGAAGGACAAACATCTTGCACATAAAGGTGCATGATCTTAAAGCCAAATTACAGAGCAAAAATTAAAATGGAGTGCAGCCCAGAAATGCATGTTAAATGCTCCCAATAACCAGTCTATGGATAGCAAACAAAGACAAAAAATTATTACAACTTTTAAAAAATTAGTTTCCATCTCTGGAATCATTTTGGTATTTCCTGGTTTGTCAAAAACAAAGAATGCTCCATGATATATTACAAATAGCATTTGAACACATGGAACCTCTTGTACATGTGAATGCTCATGCGATGCCTGGCTACTCTATATTTGTCTAATTATCAATTTTTTCCTAACTCAATCCCTTAAAACAGTGTTTCTCAAACTGTGCTCCGTGGAGCCCCAGGGCTCCGCGAGACATCTCCAGCGGCTCTGCGAGGTTGACAAACTGGAAACATCGATAGGTACAACACATACAGTGGACTGCTGGGGCTCCGCATACATTTTTATGCATGTAAAGGGCTCCAGTGCCCAAAAAGTTTGAGAACCGCAGCCTTAAAACATTAAACCAGATAAAATGCTCCATTAGCACAGAAATTAAATTTGACAAGTAAGAGTTTAGGATGAACACTAACTATAATCATAAGCAGTTTCTTCTTTTCTAACTCAAAATAAGTCCTTTAATAAAAAGAAAATATATGCTACTACATTACATTTAGGAAGAGAATACACTTGAGTAGTATTGTCTTTATCGCCTTTTGCACACTTACTCTCCATTTTGAAATGCAACCACTCCAACTTCATGCATAACAAAGGGATCCTCAGGTGCAATGCTTAAGGCTTGGCTGAAAAATCTTTCAGCTAATTTTGAATTGTTGGTCAAACCATATTCTAGTCCAATATAGAGCATTGGCAAATGACAGCTGTTAAAAAAAAGGAAGTTTCATTTACATAAGTTTCATATACATTGCATGTAGGTATTTAATAACTTGCAGAAATCTTAAAAAGCATTTCAATTTAATTGTGAGATATTTTGTATGTACATCTTAAATGAAATTAAAAACTTTAAATAAACAGGTTACCTGGTAGTAATTGTGGTTATGTTCCCACTTGGATCCCACTTATAGTGTCCATTAGGGATGTTAAAATGAGGTTATTTTACTAATCGAGTAGTTGAGAGACTTTTTATTGACTACTCGATTAGTTGATAGGCAGCCAGCTCCTGCCAGCCAGCTTGTGCCAGGACCAAACCCCATTGAGGCTTTGCAATTTAAAAGGCAATAGGAGCTGGGCAGCCTACTCCCTCCCGCTCCAGCTTCTTCTGCGTTTTAAGTAATTGCAGAGCTGCAGAGGGGTTTGGTCCCGGCATGAGCTGGGCCTGAGCCAGGCTGCCTGCCCAGCCAGTAGCAGCCCCTGCCCACTGGGAGTCCCAGTGGGGAGTTGGGACACCCTCCCCCCCAGACAGGAGCTGCTGCTGTAAAGCAGTCTCTGTCTGTGGAGGGTCCCAACACCCTGCTGGGACCCCCTGTGCACAGGGGCTGCTACATCTCATTGAGGCAGCAGCGCAGGGTGGAGACAACGGCACCGTGGAGTTGGTGCTGGGGGGAATTGGCTTTTACCAGTTCCTGCTTTAACCCCCCTTGCTGCCTCTGATATAGAGGCGGAGGGGGAGGGGAAAGAGGGGAATGCGATCAGTCAATTCAACTACTCTTTTACATCCCTAATGTCCATGTCCACCAGTACAAGAGTTCAAAATATTTTCACTAGCAGTGTCCTTTAGGTGTAGTGCATATACCCTTTAGGCCTTGCTCATCTCTTCTCCCTCTCTTCCCCACCCCTTCCTGGGCACAGCAACAACCACTACCACTCAGTTCCTTCACTAACCAACATCCCCTTTCATAAAATTCTGAGCTACGGAGATGGGTTGTGGGATGCACATGTGCAGAACTTCTTGAGGAACAACAGTTGCTATCAGGTAAGTTACCTTTCTTCTTTGAGCTACTGCACATGCAAATCCCACTTATGGTGATAAGCTAGCAATCATCTTTAAAGAGGTGGGCGCTGAGACTTATCTGAAAAGAGATTGCGAAAGTTCTTCCAAAACAAGCATGAGATCTTGAAGCAGGTGACTAAAATAACATTTTTTAAACTTATGAGCTGAAGACCAGGTAACCATTCTACATATTTCTGATACGGGACCCTGACTCAACTAGATGTAGCATGCATTCTAGGGGAGCAAATTTGGATAGCTGATGGAGGACTCCTTTTACTAATATCATAAGCAGTTCTAATACAGACACCTATTTTCAAAGTATTTATGAGGAAACAATCATCCCTTTTAATTTACTACTATAAGCAACAAGGAGTCTCGAAGTTGTACAAAAAGATCTAGTTCTATCTAGGTAATTATTACTAGGAATCCTTCAATGATAGCAGAGCAGCTGCATAATTTGATAGAGGTTCAAAAAGAGGGAGGGGAAAGGTCAATAAATTCAGGGCTTTTTTTTTTTTTTTTTTTTTTTTCCTTAAGTCCCATATTGGAGTGATCATTCTCATGGGAAGAAAAACATAGACAAACCTAAGAGCCTTTGGTGAGGAACCTTGTCAAAGGCTTTCTGAAAATCTAAGTACATTCTGCCCAGTGGATCATCCGATTCCATATGGTTGTTGACCCCTTCAGAGAATTCTAGTAGATTGGGGAAGCATGTTTTCCCTTTACAAAAAACTTGTTGACTCTTCCCCAATAATCATGGTCATCTTTGTGTTTGGTAATTCTGTTCTTTACTGCTGTTTCAATCAGTTTGCTTAGTACTGAAGTTTCCATCTGAGTTATTTTCTTAAGTATGTTTTTACCAATGAATGAAATTATGGAGGTTAATAATAACGGAATATTCATAAATGGATAGTTTTTTTAAGCCTTTCAGAATTGTATCCTATGTAAAATAACATACCCTTTCATTAGCTGGGCTGCTGTGAAGTAAGCAGCCATTGCTTGGTCATGCTCACTCTCAACTGCAAATGAATGTCCATATGCTATCCAAGCTGGTCCGTAAGTTCTCTCAAGTGTAGTGGCTTTGCTGAAACACACAAGCAGATCAAGACATTATAGCTACATCTGAAATTGTATTCATCTTATGGAACACATAAGCACTAAGACTGCAGAAGTATAAAACAGCTTGTGTACTCATAATAAATTTGTGCTTATCCAATTAGTGTGTAACAAAGAAATTTGTCTCAAAGTTTATCATGCTGGTGAAAGCTTACCTTTTGACACAAATTATTTGACATTTTAAGAGAATGTATTATTCTCAAACTGATTTTAGGAAATTTCTAAACTATATTATTTAGATAGTGGTGGTAAGTGCATGCAGTGAAATACCAAAGGTAAACTGAAAAACTAAATCCTTGCTGTAAGGAACTAACAATTAGACAGTGGGAATGCATGCAAAAGAGGTATTTGGTTTATTTTATAACTACACAAAATCTTAAAGCAGGGGTCTACTATAATTGTTTTTCTGTTGGCATCTTTGCTTTAAGACAGGGGTCTCAAACTCTCAGCCCAGAGTCCTGGCCAGGATCCCAGGCCAGGACTAGCCCATGGGCCAGGAGTATGAGACCCCATCTTAAAGCAAAGATACCAACAAAAAGCCAACAGAAAAACAGTAACATTAGAAAATCCATCTCTATTAATGCAGTGTAAACATTAAGCATGTGAAAATGGAAAATGGTAATGTCAAATTATGAAGTTTTGTTGTATTTAGGCAACATCAACACTATTATTTATGTTGGCAAAACTTTTGTCACTCAGGTATGTAAAAGAATCCACCCCTGAGTAATGCAAGTTTTGCTTGCATAAGCACTTGTGTAGTAACTGCCACTCATTAAGACGGTTTTATTATGTTGATGGGAGAGCTTTTGCTCTTCAGCATAACACAGCTGTATTGATACAGCTGTGCTGCTGTAAGCTTGTAAGTCTAGACACAGAAAATATTTCCACACACAGACTATGTGACTGCAAAAGTCTGGGCTTGCTTAATGCAAGTCTATTATTTTCCATTATAGGCAGCTATCCTGCCTAGGAAAGAAAGTGACCACCACCAAAAAGACACCAAAGCTGCAATTTAGGCTCATCAACTTAGATAATCTACCAGCTATTGTTCCATGGCTGTGGATCAATAGCATCCATACACTAGATCCCACAACAGGGGCAAGCATGATCAGAGTGAATGGAACGTCTCAGTTTCTGCACATCAGAGACTCAGGCCCTATTTAAGAACAGAGACTTTGTGAAGGGGGGCAACCATCACCAAAAAACAGACATGAAGGAGACAGGTAACTGGATGGATTCTGCCCCAGCTTGAAACACTGAAAAATTTCAGATTCACAGAATAGGTGAGGGTTCATCCAAGGACTTTTTTTTCTTTTTTAATAAACTACACACTCAAGTGCTTTAAAAATAAATTCTGCGGTTGAGAAACAACTTTCCTGTGTTCCTTGCTTTCTTGACACTGTGTACGGAAAGGGGTTAAATTAGAAGTATAGAATGCCCAGAGCTCAGGTGGAACCGTGTGCGTGCGCGTGCGTGCGCATTATCCCACATCCCAAGGAAGGCCATCTGATAAGATGCTCAAAGCTGAGAATATATTCTAGAGAGTTCCAGAAAAATCACTAGGATTAGAACTAGTTGGAATGGGAGTAGGGATGTAAAATTTTGATAAATTGGTTAATCAAATAGTCGATGCAATTTGCATCAACTATTCGATAAGGGTGCCTTCTTGAAGTGTAGCAACATCCCTGGGGGGACTCAATCCCTGCTGGCCCATGCTCCCCGTGGCATTTCAAAGCGGCAGCCTGGGGTCAGTTGGAGACACTAAATCCCCAGTTGACCCCAGGCTCCATACAGCGCTGCCGCTTTTAAATGCTGCAGGACTTCATGGAGCCTGGGGTCAGTGAGGGAGTCCCCAGCTGACCCCAGGCTCCACGTGGTGCCGCTGCTTTGGAATGCCATGTGCGGCCTGAAGCCAACTGAGGACCCCTGGCTGCACGTGGCATTTCAAAGCAGCAGCCCAGGGCTCCATGCGGCAATGCCGTTTTGAAGCACCGTCTCTGCTGTCCCCCTTGCTGCCTCTTTCTAATAGAGGCAACAAGGGAAGGGGAAGCAACTAGTTGAGTAGCGTATTGACTATCTGATAAGCATTTGCTTATCAGATAGTCAACTAGCTGTTCACATCCCTAACTGGGAGTAAATGAGATCCAGTGACTAGATTCAACTGCAACAGGTGACCATATCCCCCATATGAGCCCAGTTTGTAACAAAACAGTTTTGATTGATTACCATATAAAAACATTGCTATATATAAGGCTGTGTCTAAACTTACACTTCAACAACAAAAGTTCTGTCGAGCATAGATGCTTAAAATACTCTGCCCTCCCACACCCGTGAACAAGGTTTTGCCGCGGCAAGTGCATGTGTAAATGTTGCTTTGTCAGCAGGAGAGCTTTCCTGATGACAAAGTGAAACCTGCTTGTGGACAGTGGAAGTATTTTGTGGGCAAAAATGCCAACAAAAAGCATTCACATGTACATACTTTTAGCAACAAGCCTTGTTGCTAAAAGCTGAGTAATATAGACACACCCCAAGAAAGGCTAGACTCAGAGGAAGTAAAACAGACAGGATTTCTAGGTTTCTGTAATTACATTTATTTACAATGAATTCTTGCTAATACTTTTATAGTTAACCATTCTTTATTTGAAAGTTAAATCCTGAATAATATTTTCCTAACAAGTCATAAGCAATACACTAATAAATCTAATTTTATTATATATGAAATTAAGTTTTTACCTGAGATATCTTCTGGCATGTTCATTCTTGTGACCAACCATGAGATAATAACATCCTACTGCAAACCATGAGACCTAAACATCAATTTCAAGAGAGCAATACTAAGAGTACAGCAGATGATAAAAATGCCTCTCATCAACAAATAACGATACAGAACAGGGATAAGACAACACTCAAGGTATGTCTAGACTACATGCCTCTGGCGACAGAGGAATGTAGATTAGGCTACCCAGCATAGGAAAATGAAGCGGTGATTTAAATAATCGCCGCTTCATTTACATTTAAATGTCTGCCACGCTGAGCCGATCAGCTGTTTGTCGGCTCAGCGCAGTAGTCTGGACGCTCCGCAGTCGACATCAAAGGCATTTGTCAACCTCCCCGGTATGCACCTATCTCCCAATAAGGAATAATGCAGTTTTAAGTTAATCAAATACATTTTTACACAAAGGGTTTTAAACTACTTAGCAAATTGCTCCAAAAGATGAAGACCCTCATCAACATAAAATATTGAAAAAAAGTTAGTTAGATAATATTTCTGAACATGTCTTCTGACGATAATAATTTTATACTCCAAAGGACAATCCTATGACTTAACCAACCAAAAAATGGGTACTTAAGAACAATTTTCACCTTCTCTCTCAGCTTCATGTAACATGAACACTCTAATTCACTACATTTTCCCTTCTTCTCCCCTCCTCCCATTTATTTTCAAACTGGACTTTTAATACTCCATTCATCTGAAGAAGTGAGTTGTACCCATGAAAACTCATGATACCATCTACATGTTTTGTTCTTCTTAAAGGTGCTGCGAGACACTGTTATTTTTTAAGTTTTTCCAATTACAGACTAACTCAACTACCCATCTGAAGCTTTTGAATATTCTTTTAGTTATTCAAGCTAAAATAATGTTAGTCATTTTAAAATTATCTTTTTTAAAATTTAGCTAGAGTATTTGTTTTCATGACCTCTATTAGTGGTAAATTCTACAAGCTGAATATATTTTATAGAAAAATTCTTTTTATTCTAAATGAATTATCAATTTAATGAAATTAGGGTATGTCTACACTACCCTGCTAGTTTGAACTAGCGGGGTAATGTATGCATACCGAACTTGCTAATGAAGCCTGGGATTTGAATTTCCCGGGCTTCATTAGCATAAAGCCGGCGCCGCCATTTTTAAAAGCCGGCTAGTGCGAACCCCGTGCCGCGCGGCTACACGCGGCACGGGCTAGATAGTTCGAACTACGTGGAACGAGGAGTAAAGATAGTTCGGAATGGCTACGTAGTTCGAACTATCTAGCCCGTGCCGCATGTAGCCGCGCGGCACGGGGTTCGCACTAGCCGGCTTTTAAAAATGGCGGCGCCGGCTTTATGCTAATGAAGCCCGGGAAATTCAAATCCCAGGCTTCATTAGCAAGTTCGGTATGCATACATTACCCCGCTAGTTCAAACTAGCAGGGTAGTGTAGACATACCCTAATTTCATTAAATTGATAATTCATTTAGAATAAAAAGAATTTTTCTATAAAATATATTCAGCTTGTAGAATTTACCACTAATAGAGGTCATGAAAACAAATACTCTAGCTAAATTTTAAAAAAGATAATTTTAAAATGACTAACATTATTTTAGCTTGAGTAACTAGACATACCCTAAGTGTGTAGGACAAAAAATAAATTAACTATTTCCATCCTGATTCTGAAACTCTGGTTGCTCAAATTGATTATTAAATTACAATTTCTGTTGCTTTTACTTATGCAAAACTGGAGGAATGTGTCGTATAGGGACCTATAACAACAACTTACAGGATTATTTGGGTACAAATCCACCAATTTATGAGAAAGATAGAATAGCTCTGTATGGATAGAAAAAAGAAAGAAAGAAAATTAAAGCGTGTCAACACATTAACACACATTTTAGCCAATATACTTTTAGAAAAGTACCATTAACTCATCTTATAGTACAAGTTAGTACACTAACTCAAACATTCCATTCTTTAAAGACAAGATAACTTGACCTTTACATGTTCATCTTTTTCTTTTTAAAATTTGGAACATTATACTATTCATAGTTACTTTGCATTTAAACAGAAAAAAATTAGTTTGTGAAGAGAAGGGTATAAGAGAGAATGTGAAGTCAGGTTTATGGTTCCTTAGGTACCCTGGAAAATCTCAGCCTAAATACCTCAAAATCTTTAAAAGAAATTTAGAATTCCATTCAAAGCACTTGGCATTGGCTACTATTCTATGACCGGACACTGGGCTAGCTGGACCATTGGTCTGATCCAGCATGGTGATTCTTATGTTCTTAATATAGCTATGAACAATACAGAATATTTACCAATTGCTATATTTACATTTTCAAATGGCTTACAAAATATATCAAAAACTAAAAAGTTCGTTTGCTTATAACTAAAAAAGTTACTAGTGCTGTTTTGTTTCTAATAGGAACCTTAAAAAATTAACTTGAAGCTTCAGAAATGTTGCTTCAAAATTAATATGCTAAAATATACTAGAAAACAAAAGCTAAAGAAGGTTTTAAAAATTGAATCTGGAGTTTATACAGGCTTTTTTAGGTAAAAAGGTGCTATGTAGTAAAGTTTGCAAAAATGTTTTTGTCGTGACTGAATTACTTTAAGTCAAACAGTTTTTGAACAATAAAGCTTATGTGGTATAACAAGAAATCATACTACATTTTGCATACTGTGTGACAGCATAATATTTGTTTTCCAGACAAAGTACATAAACTGTAGTGCTCCTTCATTATAATTCTCTTTGACATAAGAGATAGTGCTTGCAATACACCTTATGTGTTATTTTCCAAGCTGTTGAACACATGGCAGACATTAAGCAATAATAGTTTAGCTCAAAGTAGTAACTCATGGGTTACATATCTCAATGCACAGAGAAGACAGATAAAGGTTACAAGAGTATCATTTCCCTGTACAGCTCCCCAAATCCTTCTTGTGAGGGTTTTCCCCTTTCCCTCCCAGTTCCTGGCCATCTGGTAGAAACGGCGTGCAGAGTCAGATATTTTCTGCTGGTTCAAATCCAGGAGCTGTTGAACAACCTTGGTTTTACTTTTCAAGGCTACTCTAAAGACAGTAGGAAAATTATCTTAGTGTCCTTTAAAATAAAAATATATATTTGACTACGGTCTTATTGCAAGTTCAGTCAATTAATATTTCTCACCATTTGCTTTATTCAGCTCCACGAGCGTCCCTATATGTACAGGTAAACAGTTTGCATGGAAGGGATCTTTTTCCATTACTCTAAAAAACATAAAACAGCAAAGATTATTACAAAAAAAAGCATAATAAAGCCACAATAGAACAAATTTAACAAGAAATTCTGAAAGATGGAATGGACATTAGGAAAACTGAATACAATTTGCACTATATTTCCCCCCAAAGTTAGTTAATGCAACATAGACAAAAAATACATATCAATCTGTCAGACCCACATCCTCCAGATGCAACATGAGAAACCTAATATTTTCTCTTTTACTCTCTACCCTGCTCAAATGGCCTTGCACCATGACAACCATCTCTCAGATGAACAGGAATGAACAGCACCTTTCCACAGATCCCTTCAAATCAAAGGCACTATTTTTTAGATAACACCCATGAAAAGGGAAATTCCAAATCAGGTTTTAAATTGCAACAGTTTAGTTTCCTTCATTCAAATATCTGAGAGCATGGAAAATGCCTCTACAATGTCCCAGAGTCTTTCATTGTAGGAAGCCCAATGTTTTGCAAGGATTCAGACTTCTGAGACTTTCAACCACAAAGACTAAAGAATTTGACTCAACTTTCCTTCTTTAAAAAAGGCAGCTGGACAAATTCCTGTGTAGTTGACAATGCATCCTGATGTTGAGAGGGTGATAGGTGGGAAGAAGATAAACATAATGGGTGAAAGCCTGGATCCACTAAACTCAATAGAAACTTTGCTATTTGCATCAATGTGGCCATGGTTTCGCTCTGGGTGCTGTACTTCCAAACAGGGCCTAATATTATGTTCTTACAGTATTCCAAAACTTGCTAATACTGGACTCAAAGTTATATCCCATATTGGCAATGTCTTGGCTTGGTTTAGCCACCCAAAAGATATAATATATTTTAAAATAAAAGATAAAACTTTCAAATCTTAATTTTATAAAACCAATATTTTAAGAGTACTCACATGGAAGACAATGTAGGTTTTAATATAAGGCAGCAGTATGTAATGCTAAGCAATTTGCTTTGTGCCATACAGTTAAAAAATAATAAGACAATATTAGTTTTTAAATGTATATTTTGCAAGCTGAGTCAATAACATATTTGAGTGAGTTTATTTCTGTATGCCACCTGAAAAGTAGCAAAAATGAAATTATACATAAATATCAAAGTTGCTTCATGTACTTACACAGAAGTAAGCTTGTAGCACATTTTGAAGTCACAGTTATAATAATGCCTTTCAGCTAAGGACACTACTACATCCAGATTGTCTTGAAGACCATCTACAGATTCAGGAATTATTGTTTCACTTGGCTTATTATACTGAAAAACATAAGTGTAACACACATTTTCTTATTTTATATGTTTGAAATTCAGAAAATAATTTAAGGACCAATGCTTTTTCTAAACCCCAAATTATGACTCCATATAAAAGCCTCTATGGAGTATAAAATTAATTTTTAGTAATGCATTTCTTGACACAATTAGCACAAACAAACATCCAAAAATGAAAGACGGTATTTAACTGTCAGAATTTGAAGGGCAGTGTCTGAAAATGACACAATGCTGTAAGTGTCATAGCACTAACTGCTTCATGCTGGCCAATGCTATAGTGTTATCTCCAGAAGAAAAGCACTTCAGAAGTAATACATTAGGGCTACGTCTAGACTACAAGCCTCTTTCAAAAGAGAACGTCTAGAATACAAGTAGTTTTTTTGAAAAAGTGAGCCGCTTTTTCGAAAGAGAGTCTAGACGCTCTTTCGAAAAAGCACAGTTTGCATGCATTAGCTCCTTTTTTCGAAAGAGTACTTTCGAAAAAAGGCGTTATTCCTCATACAACGAGGTTTATCGCGACTGAAAAAACTGCCGCGTTCTTTCGATTTACTTTCGAAAGAACGCGGCTGCAGTCTAGTTGCAGGGGAAGTTTTTTTGAAAAAAGGTTACAGGTTTTTTTAAGAAAACCTGTAGTCTAGACACACCCTTATAGTCAGCCATCAAGTAACTATGTAAAATACATTAATGGAAATGTGTATGAAACTGTTACACACTTCTTTCTATTAATGAAGAATTATTATGGCCATTTGGTTACAACACAATTAAAACCATAAAAGAATTTTAAAATTATGATATTATGGACAAAACCAGATTTATATGATATTTACATATGAAGTCAAAATTTCCATAAGATTAATCAGATTTTTACCTTTTTCAGTTTGTTCTCAAACAGAAAATGGAGCAATTCTTGCTCCTCTTCTGTACACTGTTTACCAAGAGGAAGAGATTCAAGAAGTTCTTTTTCTGTATAAATTTTAAAAAGAGATTGCAGTAACCAAAAAAATTCAACAGGTTATAAAGAACTAATTTTCATTGAACTCAAAGGCTGTGAAAAATTGTGATGTTCACTCTAATTACCCCCCCACACACACAAAATCAGCACAATACACGAAATATTGAGAGATATGGAAGTAAATGACTCAATTCTCTTTGTTTTCAGTCACTTTCTACAATTCTAAAGTTAAACATAGAGCACATACCACAGCCTACTATTTTAAACTTACTCTGTGAGCTAAGGTTGCTCAACGAAATGCAAAATGTTGTCTACAGCAAGAATTTACAACATTTTGGCATTCACAATGCCAAATCTAACTGTGGTTTCTTGCCAAAAGCAACCCTAATTCCAGAATCATTTATTGCTTAAAAAGACTGGGATTGGGATCACCTTAAAAAAAATCAACTCTGGTAGGGAGCACTAGGGCTGCTGGAGTGCTGGTTAGGATCTCAGGATGGGAGGGGAGAGTTTATCTTGCTCCTAGCACATGCAGGATTTTATTGATTGTCAGTTAACTCAGTGGTCATACCCTCATGATCCACCCATTGGTTGTGCCCAACAAGTTGAGAAACACTGGTGATTATTTTTGCTGAAACCTACTGCTCAAATGATTAACTGCTTTTTCACATTTAATATAACCAAAGAGTTGCTGACATTTGGGCATGAAATATTCTCTCAAAATAATTTTAAACCGACTCATTTATTTACTGGACAAAATGTATGGTAAAACTGGAGATGATTTTATTTGTATTTGAGAAACAAACACTGCTGTCCAAACCTTCTTGTGCTGTTAGCATATGATGTGATGTTAAAAGGTCAAATGCTTCAAAGCAGTAAACATCAAGCTTCAAGGCTTCTTTGTAGCTGTATGTTGCTAGGGTTCTATTATCCAGAGCATCATAGATCTTCCCTCTCAAAAGGCAAATAGAACTCTTGATCTAGTGATGGAAAAGCAGGGCTGGAGGTCAGACACTGAGTCAATGTACATAATTTGGTTTTGAGCACAAATGAAATGGACTACCTGAAAAGTAAAAAGCATTTCATATATGATGGAATCTGTTTTTTTTTTTTAAATACTGTTTTGTTAATAACAATATTGTATAACAATCTAAAACCAAAATCAATACTACATTAAGCTTTTTACAACCAAGAACTGGTTAAATATATGAATTAAGAAATAAATTATCCAAGTAGAGATGACAAAAAGCCAAAATAATTTAAAAAATATTTTAAAAAGTCATTTTGGACAGAGACCAGTAATGAAAAATTGTATTCCAAAATGTGATTAAGAAATTTACGGAATGAGTGAAAATAGGTGATTTTAATGGAAATAGCTCTGATACAAGCTTTAAATTAATATTGCAAAAAAACAATGAATAGTCTAGTAGCACCTTAAAGACCAACAAAACGTAGATGGTATCAAGAGCTCTTGTGGACACAACCCAATTCTTCAGATGACTGGAGTATTAGAAGTCCAGATCCAAGAATAAATAAGGAAAGGGGAGAGGGGAAAGAAAAAAAAAAAAAGACTAGACATCTCTATAGGAAAGAATTAATGGACACAAATCAGATATCCGTAAAGGCAATACACAGAAACCTGTTGGAGAACACTTTAACCTGCCTGGGCACGCATTAATGGATCTCCAAGTCCCTGTGTTGTTTCAGGCCAATTCCACAAGCCAAATAACACAGGGAACCTTGTAACTTCATTTACAAATTTAATTCTTATGCGAATGGAATGAACAGAGACATGGGCTGGCTCGCATACTACCTCCCACAGCCTAATGACTTAACTGACCAACCAAACAATGGAGGTGCTAATTGTTCTTATCAGCTTCTTGTAACTACTTGAACAATCTACTCACTGTCTCTTTTTTTTCCTTGTTCCCCTTTCCTTTCCTTATTTATTCTTGAATCTAGACTTCTAATACTCCAATCATCTGAAGAAGTGGGTTGTGCCCATGAAAGCTCATGATATCATCTACATTTTTTGTTAGTCTTTAAGGTGCTACTAGAACTAGACTATACGTTGTTCTTTTAAGTTTTTCCTGTTACAGACTAACTCGACTGTCCCTCTGAAGCTTTTGATAATATTGCAAGGATCATCCCAATGCTGATCAGGTACTTCTAGACGAGAGTTCTGTTCCCTTCTCTGCCACAGATTATAAGACTCAGAATGCAGGTCTACCAACTCAGCTTCAAAGCATTCAAGCTATATCACTAAAAAAAAGCTGAGTAAAGATGGCACATCTGGCTGAAGCCCACTATTGTCCCTAGGCTTCAGCCCCTAACCTCCAGTCTGAGGGTATGTCTAGATTGCACCCCTCTGCCGGCAGAGGGATGCAGATTAGGCTGGGCGAAATTGCTAATGAAGTGGTGATTTAAATATCCCACACTTCATTAGCATAAAAATGGCTGCAGCTTTTTTCCGGCATGGAGCTTTGTTGGAGAAAAGCGGCAGTCTAGAGGCTGAGCTATCACTGAAGAAAGCTTTTTCTGATAGATCCTGTATATGAGGATACGTTTTACAAAGCATAAGGGCTCTATCGGAAAAGGCTTTCTTTAGCGATCGATCAGCCTCTAGACTGACGCTTTACTCTGACAAAGCTCCGTGCCGAAAAAAAGCAGCGGCCATTTTTATTATAAAGAAGTGTGGGATATTTAAAACCCAGCTTCATTAGCAATTTCGCCCAGCCTAATCTGCATCCCTCTGCTAGCAGAGAGGTGCAGTCTAGACATACCCTGAGCGTCTACACAGTTATTTTTAGTACTGTCGTGTCAGGGCTGTGAGGCTCAGACTCACTGTTGTGCCAGTCACTTATTGTTCAGATGCTTCCCTTGTCCCTGTTTCAGTTCCCATCTGCATAAATTAACATAACAGTACAGTGATGTTGAGGCTAAAGGCATTAAAGATTGTGAGATGTTAAGACACTGAGGTGATAAGAACTATGTAAGTATCTAAAACAGAATTATGATGACTGCTACCAACCAGCTGCTTCTGTAATAAATAGGGTCCTAATAAATTCCCGGCCCTGAAAAATGAATCATGGACCATGAAATCTGGTCTTTATGTGCTGTTACCCTATACTATACAGATTCCACAGCAGGAGACCAGCATTTTCAAATTGGGGATCTTGACCCAATATTGCTACCCTTACTTCTGTGCTACCTTCAGAGCTGGGTGGCCAGGGAATGGCGGTTGTTGGCCAGTGCCCAACTCTGAAGTCACCACCCTGGAAGTAGCAGCACAGATGTAAGGGTTGCAGTACCACACGCCCCTTTCCATAATAAGCTTGTGATCTCCCCCACATCTCCTTTTTGGGTCATGATCACTATAATTATACCACCAAGAAATTTCAGATTTAAATACTGAAATCATTAAATCTATGATTTTTAAAATTCTACAACCATGAAATTGACCAAAATGGGCCATGAATTTGGTAGGGTCCTAGTAATAAATCTAACCAAAGCCGTTATCAGGTGTTGAGAAACCAGAACATCATAACCTTGTGATGACTTTACTAAATTGTGAATCCTATGCACTGGAAAAAAAAAAAAAATCAATCAGTTAGGTAACGGTGACTTTCATTTTATTAAACTCCACAGCTTAAGTAAATATGGAATAATTCTTTTTATTTTAGTCTTTGTCTAATTTCAAAATTTGCAGGGTTTAGGCAAAAGTGAAAAGAAAGTCTAATCCCAATCCTCCAGACTCCATTTTTGTGTGTCTCTTCCTTATCTTAACAGATTTCTAAGCAGCAAGTGTTAAAGAAAGAATAACTTTGTTGTTAACCACAGGATTTGGAACCACGCTAAAACTGTCAGAGTTTAAGAACACAAGGGACCTCCTGTATATGATAGGCCACCACTTGCATGCTAAACCCTACAACTAAAATTAGAGTAACATAACACAAATTGTATTAACTTTTCAGTTTCTTGCGAAACTTATTAGTACCAGAAGCAGTGGAGCTACATTTGTCAGTCAAGAGGATGGCATGTTCTATGTTCACATCTGAAAAATTATCACTGAAACTACAATGAAAATTAAATCTTAAATCCTAAAGAAGTTAACAGTTCAGACCATGATGGTACTCCAGCTTCCCAACGGCAATTTCCTACTTGCAACTGTAAGCAGGTAAGTGATTTTTAATGCTGATATTTAAAAGTCAGCCTACACTTGGTATTTTATGCTTTAAATTCACATGCTACCTTTATCCAAATTAATATTTAAATGGAGTCAAACCGAGATTAAGGTCAGGTATGGTATATACTGAAAAAATTAGGTCAACCTATGTTGTTTAGAGGCATGAAAAATCAATCTTTGCACGAGGCAGTAAAGTCAATCTAACCCCTGTTATAGACAGTATTAAGTTGATGGAAGAATTCTCCATTGACCTACCTACACAGATGCGAGGGCAGCTCCAGTTGGGGTTGTGTGTAGAGAAACAATTTCTGAACCTCCTTGCAGTTTTTTGGGGAGACAGGTCCCCCTCAAATTATGCCCATGCCTAGATACTTCCTCTCAAAGCAAAACAATTGACTATACTGGTGGGTAAACCCCTCTATTGCTGTAGCTAGTGCCTACACTGAGTCTACAGCAGTGCAGTCATAACTCTGTGGTTAAATTCCTAATGAAGACACAGCCAAGAGTTTCTCAAACTGTGGGTCGCTACCCCCAGGAGGGTCAAAAGCAACTTAGAAGGGGGTCGCAGCTGGATTTGGTTTTTCACTTGCAACCCCTGTCCCCCGGGCCATGAAGAGCGGAAGGGGGGCAGAAAGCAGCCGCCGGCAAGCCATGCAGCATGGCCGGGGCCGCGGGACTCTAGGAGCGCGGCTCAGCTGCAGGAGGCGGCAAAGTGGCGGGAGAGTGAGGCTGGCGCTGGCGCAGGAGCGGACACGCGAGGTGCCGGCCGAGGCATGGTTGCTGGGCAACTGAACACTTTCCCAGCTGGGAGAGGGCAGGGTCCCTCAAGCAGCGGGCTGGGGGATTGGGTCGGGCCAGAGAACCCGGAGGTAAATAAGGGCACGTGGGGACCAGAGGAGAGGAGGAACGAAAAGGACACGGAACAGAAAAGAGGCACAGAGGAGAAAGAGACGGGGGGAAGGATCTTGCAGTGGAGGAGAAAGAGATGGGGGGAAGGAGCCTGCGGGGGGGAAGGAGCCTGCAGGGGGGAAGGGCCTTGAGGACCGCAAACACCTTAAAGGAACCCCAGGAGGGTAAGGAGTCTGGTGAGAAGGGGGGAGGAAGCAACCCAAGGCAGTGAGGGTGAAGGGTCACACAAATTCATTTAGCATTTTAGGTAGTCGTGGTATCACAAAGTTTGAGAACCCCTGACATAGAACTTGGTCCATCCTATCATACACTGGCTGAGGACTTCTGGTGGAGGTCTTGACATCACAGCAGAAAAAGGAAGTAGAGGATTCTGCAATGTAGGGATGTTAGCGACTAGTTAACTATCAGATAACCATAGGCTTAAGCTTATAAGTATAAACATATCAGATAGTCAACTAGTGAAGCAACTAGTCACTTCCTCCTACCTTGCTTCCTCTAACAGAGAGAGCCAGCAAGTTGAGGGAGCAGAAGCCGGTACAGGGGGAGCTGGCTTAAAAGCTAATTCTCCCCAGCACCATCTCCGTGGGGAGCAGGGGAGGTAGAAGCACAACAAGAAATGATGCAAATGGGGACTGAAACAGTCTCCGCTGGTGCCGCTTCTGCACTTCTGCTTTTGAGATGTACAAGAGCCTCAATGGGGGCTCCCTCACTGGCCCTCTGCTCACTGCAGGGCTTCTGCTTTTGAAATGTACATATCAAAGGCTCTGGCGCTGCAAGGAGCATAGGGATTCTGCTTTTCAGCTGTAGGGCTCTTGCCACAGTTCAAAGGCAGAAACTCCCTTACAGACTAATTGAATAGTTGATGGTTAATAGTTAATTCATCTACATTTAACATCCCTACTCCAAAGGTGCATCTACACTGCACCCGAAGCTCAAAATAAGCTATGCAATTTGAGCCTCGCAAATTTCATAGCTTATTTCGAGTCAATTTCGAAATAGCGTATTTTGAAATTTGGTGCTGTCTACACAGTACTTATTTCAAAATAAATCTCTATTCCAAAACATCCATTACTCCTTGTGGAATAAGTTTTATAGGGCCATCAGAACAGTGAGCCCGTTGTATTTCAAAATAACAGGCACACTCAAAAGACAATCCTGAAATAGTGCTGAAGTGCAGACGCAGCCCAAGTTATTTAAAGCAGATGTGCGGGAAGTAGCCAATTAGAGCCCAGAATGCTAGTATAAGAAGAGCTGCAGGGTCAGAGCAAATTCAGTTTCTTGCTGGGCTGCAGAAGCATGAATGGTATCTGGCTGCAGGACCTTAAACAAGCTAGTTGCCAGAAACTGAGTCCAGTGAGGAGCTCTAAGCAGGTTGCAGGGATTCCATCAGGACAAAGCCCTGAGATAAGGGTGAAGACAGCTCAGAGCCATGGGGAAAATGGCCCAAGGAAGTTGTGCTGATGCTCTAATTAACTGCTGTTGCTGTTTCCCTTCATTTATTTACTGGCCTACGTTCTCCCCCAGACTCCCATTATTCACTGGGGGAAGTGGTCTGGACACTGAGGCACCCTAGAGAGGGAACTGAACTGCAGTGGCCCAGCTGAAGAGCTGGAACCAGGAAGGCCTTGAGAAGGTAAAGACATTGTCTCCAGGAGAGGAGCCATGGGGCACAGACAAACAGACACATTATAGAAGACACTGAGGAAGGCCTCTCTTGGACTTGTATCCTGAAAGGGGGTTGGCTTTGCTTTTATCTCACAGAATGTGCATGACTTTGTCATAGGACTGAGTCAGAGAACACATATCACAAATAGGTAGACAGAGTGTGCAGGCGCACATACACAGCCAGGAGACACTCATGAGAGTTGAGTATAATCTAATTACACAGCATTAACACCTCAATAAAATACTTGAAGGGAACAGAAAGTTCATTCTCTGATTGTTATTTATCTCCAAAATCTGTGAAGAGATGATAGTTTACATTGTCAAGGCTCAATTCATATCTGGAAGACCTAGAATTTATTTATTTTGAAACTAAGCGATAACATGGAACTCCCTAGAAATTCTCAATTATTAATTCTGTGTGAACATTTGCAAAACACTAAGAATAGTGAATCCACAATTTTAATTTAATGTTGGAATAATCAAGGCAGCCAGCAGTACAGATTTCTGACTAAATGGAAAAAAAACATAATACTTCTGGAATAAATATTCTTTATCCTATAAATAAAAGTCAAACACATTAAATTTCAAGTTCCGATCTCACTAACATTATAGTATACAGGCATTTATCAGAAAGTAAACATTACTCTTCAGCGATGAAAACATCATGTTTTGAAAATGCTACCTACAGAGGATTGTGACATCTCCCAATCACTGGTAGAATCTTTCAATCCACTTTCATCTTTCAAGTATTTTTCGAATAGTCTTTTATTGATTGGCTCTTCCATGTCAAGAATATCAAGAGCCTGTTGATGCTCTTTTGCAGCATACTACGAAGAAAAACAAGGGCAGATACATTAAGCATTTAAAGTTAAAACACCAATAATTAAACCATTGCAAGTAAAAATTGTCGCATTTGGTATGTCGAGCTAGTTCACGTTTATTTATCTGCATATCAGTTTAACATCATAATTTAACAATTCACAAATGGTAGCATAATAAATATTTCAGTATGGTTCAACCAAACAACATTTGGAACATAAATATAGAGCAGTGTTTCTCAAAGCGGTCTACGGATCTACTCTGAGAAACCTGCTAACTGGCCACCCCAGTTTGTTTATTTACCGGCTCCACAGCTATGGAGCCTCACGGCTCCGGTTCTCTGTTTGTGGCCAATGGGAGCCGCAGGAAGCGTCGTGGCCCAGCCCACACACTTCCTGAGGTTTCCCTTGGCTGCAATGTGAGCCACGAGGTCTCTGTGGCTGCTGAGCTGGTAAACAAAGAAACTGGAGCGGCCAGTTAGCAGGTTTCTCAGAGTGGATCCATGGACCACTTTGAGAAATACTGATGCAGAATGAATGCGGAATGATCATACTGCTCAACATTTTGTGATCACAAAAGTATACAAACATTATCTTTAAACCAATTAAGATAGATAATAACAAAAATAGAAAGCCCTATCAAAATAGATGCTGTTCTATTTATTTTGCTCGTTCTCCAGACAAGTTGATTTCTTTGGCTGCATTTTACGTTATATAGCACTTTTCAACCAAGAGGAACCCAAAGCATAGTGCCAATTATTTATTAATAGCACCAATAAAACAAAGCTATCTGTAGGACAAAAGTTAGCAACCAACCATTATAAACCACATTTTACATTATTAGAAAGGAGAGAAATTCTGGGTCATGGAGAACAGGTCAGATACCTTACTCTAAAGGAAGTGCCCTTTATGTGGCTAGCATAAAGTCTGCCATGTGTGGGTTGACTATTTACATAGCAGTCTTTATTTAGTTCTATTTTATCCAATATAAACTAAAATATATACTTACATGACATCGAGCAGCAAGGTATCGACATGCTTCATATAACTAAGAGAAATAAAGAGATTTAAAATATACTTAATTATCAAGGTACAAACAAACAACATTCCATAGTATTAATAGCAAAAAGCTATCATTCCTACATCAATGATTTTAGTCAGAAGGAAAACAGATTTATTCCTTACTACCCTGAATCATTCTCTCAAGTCTCTAACTTGAGGTAGACAGTAAATAGGAAAATCTTAAACCATCCTGTCTCCTTAACTCTAGTTTTCCCCTCCATTTCCCTTACCTTTATATACTCTTTCCTTGTGACCCTTCCCTTTACCTAAAAGCAGTCTAATATACCACTGTTTCCAACTTTTTTTTTTCTTTCAAGTTATAAGGCATGTCAAATTGTTAGACTTCCTCATCTCTCTCTCCTTTATCTCCTCCAGGGTGGTTCATCCTTTCCACCTCGGTAAAATGTCCTTGACCAAATTCGCTAATGACCTTCTAGTCCAGGTTTTTTAAGTTTCTTCTATACTATTTTTGACCCGCTCAACCAGGCTCTCTCCTCTTTTGATTTCCACATCTTCAGTGAAAATGGGAGGAGAACTAGAACACATAGTCCCTTCCCAGGACAGCCTTTGGGCCTTTTTTCTTCTCTATGTATCATTCTCTCACCTTGACCTTACTTTGTCCCAGCATTTATGGTCTGGCTTTATGAACATGTTTATCTTGCATCACATTTTGCAGTTTATGTAACTACTCTTCCTTTAAATTTGTATGGTTAGCTCTGAGGATAATGAACTATAGTCCATTTAGCACAGTGCATCTGCTATTTAGTACCAGGTACAGCACTATGGTTTTAAATAAACAAATGTATTATATCATGTTTGAAATTACTTACCTTATCTAGCTTGCGTGAGCGAAGGGCATGTGCTGCCCTATGATACTGAGCTGTCAGGTAGAGACATTGAGCCAGCCAGTAGATGTCCTGAGGTTCCTCTAAAAATATGTACAACCCAATTAAGTACAATCCTAAGGTGCTTGCTTTCATCATACTTTTGTATAGCATAGACATTTTTAGGTAATTAAAAATGTCTCAATTTACTGGTCTTCCTCAGACTAGTCATCTCAATAACTCAGTCTAAAAATAAAATGCGTATCTCTGGATATCTCAGAAATAAGAAAATATAGAGTGAAATCAAACCTTAATACTTACATTCTATGCGTTAACAGCAGCAAACAAGGATGTAAAAAAACTAACACCAGTCTGCACACCATAAGTAACAGAAGGGAAATAAAACTGATATGAAAAAGAGGAAAACAGTATATGTACATTTCGAAGTTGTGAAAATTAGCACCTTCAAAAACAAATTATTATTTTCAAATTCTAGAAAAATGACAATTAGACCCTGACTCCTGATCCCAAAACATATGCATGTATATAACTTTACATGTGAGTAATCCCATTTAAAGTACCAGATTGTAAGTAATAAGGCCATTGTAAAACAGATATAAAGAGGTAAGGAAATACTCAATAAATGTAAACATAGACAAACAATTTGGTTGAGGTGACACGCATCTACCAAACCCTATATTTAAATAGTCATGATGCATGGGAGAATCTTCAATATTGAAGGAAAGCGAGAATGATTCCAAAGGAATTAAAAGTTACTCTATCAATGACTACCCCCCGAGTCAGGCAATCCATAGGACAGTTTGGGCCCTATGCCCCAGGCCCTGGGGGATTACTGGAGCACTTGGCACCAGTAAACAAGGGTATGGCTCACCCCTGCAATCACCTACATTAGTGGGAACCATGGGAAGCAGAGCAACCCGGTCTCAGCCTGCTCCACTGGACCTGGGTCACTCTGCTTCCTGACACCTTGGTGAGTGTAGAGAGGTCCAACCCCTTCTGCTAGTGCCAGTCCTTCCAGTAATCCTGAGGGCTGTGTCACTTGGAAGAGGGGTCTCTGTGGAAGGGGTGCAATGGGAGCAGAAGGAGGCAGAGCAGAGGTAGGATTTGGCAAAACCACTGCAACGGGGCAGAGCAAAGATGGGGCTTGAGGAAGAAGCAGGGCTTGTCCCAGACCCTACACCCACCAAGGAACAGTCCTGATTATGCCATAAATACAACAAACTAACCACTTGAAAAGGTACTACAGGAAACAATCTTGCATTGGTAGCGGACTGGACTAAATTATCAAGTCATTTTTAATTTCAGGTTTTAATCATCTGTGAAAAGTTTATTGAAAGCAATAAAAATTTCTCCAAGTGGAGGGCGTTAACCTGCCATGTACTTCCAAGCCTTGAAAGACAGAATGTTTTTCATCATAGGTACAAGGCTTAGTTCTTGCACTAATAGAGTATGAATTTCAAGCACAGGAGTTAAATATGCATGAATGCTGAATTGTACTAGTCTGGCCTCTCTCAACCTTTTTTTATAAAGTACCCCTTTAAAAAAAAAATTATAAGTACCCCCAGTACCTACAGTTTTCAGACATACAACATTTTTTCTACCATTGCAACACATTTGTTTAAACAACTTAATCGTAGCTGGCAGGCGATGACATTTTTGGGTGTAAAAAGTACAAAGTAATAAAGCACTGTAAAACTTAAAACAAAAATTCAGTTTTCAACAAATTTCAGTTGTGTTGATGTACCCCCCAGACTTCTCTCGAGTACCCCTGAGGGAACTTGTATCACTAGTTAAGAAACACTGATCTAGTCTAGCAGATCAAAAATCTAATACTCTATGTGAGTTGATGATATTCCAGAGAAACTCACAAGAACATCACACACAAGATGTAACCTTAACAATACACAAGGATCTGAAAAAAAAACTATAACTGGCAAAAGTTTTCATGAAATTAATATTTTAAATAAAGTGAAATAAAAAGTAAGGATTACTTACCATGAGACAGCGACGCAACTTTGTCTGCCCAAAACAAGGCACTTTGATATTGTTGCTGGAAAAGAATGTTAGAAATGTTAGGGTTTGTTTGTTTCATTATTACAAAAGGTAGAATATAACACTAGATAATTCTTTGACGATTGACCATACTATTTTTTTTATAAAAACCTAGAGTTAATTGATTGCCAAATAAGTCAAAGCAGTTAATATATTTGTAAAGATTATTAGGGTACTCCCCCAACATGTGTGATTTACCCTAAATTGAGGCAGAGGCTTTGTTATGAATCCTAGAAATATGAAAGATGGAAAAATATCATTTAAATATAATATGAAAGCCAGAGCTACAGATAAGAGCTCCTTTCTATTTAAAGGGAAACTCTTCAAAGTGCCCTAAAAACTGCATACCCTCAAATTTGGTGTGCCTTAGCCTCAGAGAGTAGGGTTAGTGATCCAAATATGAGATCATATTTACCAAGCAATATGAGATACAGTTTCCCAAATAACAAAGATTTTCTTAGCATTGACAGATTCTACCAGTGCTTCCAGTGCACACCTTGGTCAAACCATAAGTCTCAGATTTACCCAGTTAGTATAAGGCGCTTTTGGGAAGCAATACTGGATACATTAAAGAGTCTGGCTATACAGACAGATGCAAGCCTAATGTTCACGCACCAAATGGATTTGTCTACACATCTGCAGAGTGCCTGAGAGACTGGAAACCAGCCATGACTCTCAGGTTCTGTGAGACTCAAGATGACATGCTATGGCCACTGAACATGAGCAACACCTGAACACTATGAATTAACACCCAACTCTTAACTCTGAAAATGAGATGTAGACATGAAGTTATAATATGCCTCTGTCAGAGGATTTTTCTTGGGGACCAGAGAGGAACATAATCCAAGTTTTGCTGAAAACACAACGTATTTTTGAAAAGAAAAGAAATTATACATTCCAGTGCTTTCTACATTTAAGCACAGCTAAAGGTTATGCTTAAGTTAGGGCTGTGAATGTTTACCAGTTAACCAGTGGTGGCTGGAGCAGTTCCCTGCCTGCCATGGGTAGATGGCTGCTTCCACCCTATGGGGGGGGAGGGGGGGCCCTACCACAGACAGGATCTGGTTAACCAAATGGGATTTTACACTCCTTGCTTGAGTTGTGCAAGAATGCTCTCAAATGGTGTTTTGGCATCGTTTGGGAGAGTAGCAACAGCATTCTGGTACCTCTGACTGGTGTCCCCACTAGGAATGTTAAAATGTGTTTATTTAGGTAAACGTGTAACTGCTGAAATTTTCAGCAGTTACACATTCACACAGGATGGGGGTGGGGGTGGGGGGGGAAGGACGGGT